GAAAGGTGCCGTTTCCCCTTTTCCATTTCTTGCCAGTCGTCTCCCTCTCCCCAGTTCACCCGCACCGACGACGCAGAGAGGCTGTGCAGGAGTTTCGGTCATCATCAAAGGAGCTATTTTGGACTCTCCTTAAGCAGAGGCTCTGACATGCAAACGAATCTAGCTATTATTTCCACCCCGGGGGCGGGGGTGGGTGAGAGATAGTCCTACCTTGTCCTGAATTCTCGCATATGTTAAGCAGAGCTAACAGGGAAAACCCACAGTCATTTTTTTCTTAGTTTTATGATGTTGTTCGGCCTTCTCCACCCATGATGTGGGCATCTGTGTAATTCAAGGCGTTTGATGTTAATGCTAAAAATAAAGATGGGGATTATGGGCCGAATGACGGAAGATCTGAAAAGCTCAGGAGGAGATCATAGGAGCTGCTGAGGGATGGGGAAGTCGGGGCTGAGCCACAGTGGCGGGGGGCAGGGGGCTCTCCCAGAAATCAGAGCAGTCTGGCGTCAGGGGTGCGGGCCTGGGAGCTGGTGGTCCCTGCACAGCAGCCACCAACCACAGGGGCAATGGGACCCTCCACGTGTGCAGTAGATGAACTGAACTTTACACTGTATTTAATTTTAATTTAAAAACTCGTACTTGGGGCGCCTGGGTGGCGCAGTCGGTTAAGCGTCCGACTTCAGCCAGGTCACGATCTCGCAGTCCGTGAGTTCGAGCCCCGCGTCAGGCTCTGGGCTGATGGCTCAGAGCCTGGAGCCTGTTTCCGATTCTGTGTCTCCCTCTCTCTCTGCCCCTCCCCCGTTCATGCTCTGTCTCTCTCTGTCCCAAAAATAAATAAAAACGGAGAAAAAAAAATTTTTTAAAATAAAAATAAAAATAAACAAAAAACAAAAAACAAAAAAAAACCTCGTACTTGATCCGGTTACTGGAATACCTGGGGTACGATTGAAGTAACTTGAATATGTAAACCTACTTTTTCAACCAGACATTTAATGAAATCTAAATACAGATTACGGATTTCTGATTAAAATTTAGAATCCAGGCTGAGACGTGCTCTAGGAGTAAAATGCACACAATACTTCGAAGACTTAGGACCAAAATGTGAACGATCATGTGAATAATTTTTATGACTGTGCGTTGAAGTATTAATTTTTTGATATATTGGGTTAAATTGCACACTTTATTAAAATTGACTTCATTTGTTTCTTTGTACATTTGCTTATTTGTTAGTGCAGTACGATTGACACACAATGTCACATTAGTCTCAGGGGTACAACACAATGAATGCACATCTCTATCCATTATGTCACGTTCCCCACGAGCATAGTTGCCATCTGTCACCCTGCAGGCTATTACGGCACCATTGAATGTGTTCCCTCTGCTGTGCCTTTCATCCCCGTGACTTATTCCTTCCAGAGCTGGAAGCTGTACCTCCCGTTCCCCTCCCCCATTTTGCCCATCTCTTCCCATCCCCCCTCCTCTGGCCACCACCGGTTTGCCCTCTGTATCGATGGGCCTGCTTCTGCTTTTGTTTGCTTGCTTTTTAGATTCCGCCTAGGAGTGAAATCACACGGTATTTGTCTTTCTCTGACTTATTTCACTCAGCGTAAGACTCCCTAGGTACCTACATGGATGTTTCTTTTCCCTTTTTAATGTAACTACTAGAAAATTGAAAACCACACATGCGGTGGGCCGCCTGGGTGGCTCAGTCGGTGAAGCGTCCGACTTCGCTCAGGTCATGATCTCACGGTTCGTGAGTTCGAGCCCTGCGTCGGGCTCTGTGTTGCCAGCTTGGAGCCTGGAGCCTGCCTTGGATTCAGTGTCTCCCTGTCTCTCTCTGCCCCTCCCCTGCTTGCGCTCTGTCTCTTTGTCTCTCTCAAAAATAAATAAACATTAAAAAAAATTTTTTTTAAAGCCAAACATGCAGCTTGCATTATATTTCAATTGGACGGCAGGCGCTTTTCTGGAGCATGGGCCACGTGGGTTGAAATCCCCTGTCCACCAATTTCTAGCTGTGGCATGGGCTCAAATGTGCTTTTGGGACCTTTTGTGGGAAATGCGCTAATAATCATGCTACACAGAGTTGACGTAAGATGTAGGCGAATTAACAGGTGCAGTGCACTCAGAATAGTCCACAACACATAGTGCTTGTTACCTGGTAAGTCTCATTATTATTGTGTGTGCGGTTGTCATGGTCCTGAGGGTAGAAAGACACTAGGAGGGGACTGCAAAATGTCCCAAGAAAGAGTCTTTCTCTGTCTCTCATGAAAATCTTGCATAAAATGTCCATTTGCATCTGGGTAGGAAACGCCCATGGCCTTGCTCCCTTGGTGTCCATCCCGGAACTGGACGACATCCTCTCACACACTGTGGGTCGCGACATGCTCTGCGTCTTGTACACTTTCCCGAAGACCCCAAAAGGCACACGTAACGCAGAGGTGGCCTGACAGAAGTTACGAAGGGACCTCAGACAGTGTGGTGTGAAGTCCCTTCACACAGGTGTGTGAAGTCCCTTTGCCACTTCACCACTCTGCCATTGAACCAGCCATATATCATACAGGAAGTCATCGTTTTCTCTGCCTCTGTTTCCGCCTGAACTAAAGAGGGATAGCAGGAAGTGCTGCGATCAGGGTTCCGTTGGATAGTGGGATTGAGAGAGCTCCATAAACCGCATGGCATGATGCCAACGTTGATCCTTTCTTTACTTCCAGAACCATTTCTGCTGGTTCAGCCTGTCTTTTAGGTAAAATAGAGAGTTGCTTCTGTGGGATCGTTTCTAGGGCTCTGAAAGATCTGCCTCTCTTCCGAATTTCCCCTAAATTGGTCTGTGAGAAAACAGCCAAGCCCTACGCCATGAAAAGGTGCAGCTCCCCTGGGAAATAAAAATGAAAAAGCTATATGCAGTTTAGGGAAACTAGTAAGTCGTCATCAGCTAGTAACGCCTTGGATCTTCACAGATAGACAGTCACCTGCCACGTCTTTGAGGAAACAGAACACAGACAACGTAAGTTTTCGTTCCTTCCTTCACTCATTCATTCACCAAATGTGTATTGATGCTCACTCTGTGTGAGGCATTCTGGGATCTTCTGTTACACTGGGGAACAGAACAACACGAGGTCCCTACCCTCACGGAGCCCATTTCCTAGCGGGAAGAGGAACAATAAACATGAGGTACATGTAAAGCTATAGAAACTTACTGAGGTAAGAAACACCAGAGTGGAATGAGGGGGTCAGTGATGTAGGAGGGAGGGTTGCGATTTTACATCGGGTGGTCAGACTACGTCTCGAGGAGAAGGTAAAATTTAAGACTTGAACGAATTGATTATGCAGATATCCATGGAAGAGGGTTCACAGAAATAGGAACAGGTCCTGTGAAGGGGTGGGGGGGAAACGCATCCAGAAGCTCAAGGAACAGTAGGGAGCTGAGTGTGGCCACAGCAGAGGAAGAAGGGGGGTGATATTAGGAGATACGGACAAAGAAGTACGTCAGGAGGGGTGGGTGGATCACGCAGAGCCTGAGAGGTGGAGGAGGCATAACTTCTTGTCCAAACTGGATCCACTCAAGAGTAAAAGAGGGACTTTAATAATTGCACTGGGACATGGGGAGCCTGGGGGACTCAGTCGGTTAAGCCTCCGACTTTGGCTCAGGTCATGACCTCAAGGTTCATCTGTTTGAGCCTTGCATAGGGCTGTGTACTGATAGCTCAGAGCCTGGACCCTGCTTCAGATTCCATCTCTCTCTCTCTCTCTCTCTCTCTGCCCCTCCCCTGCTCATGCTTTCTCTCTTCCTCTCTCTCTGTCTCTCTCTCTCCCTTTCTCTCTCAAAAATAAACATTAAAAATTAAAAAAAAAATAATTACACTGGGACAATAG